GAGATTGGCTTGGCTACTCCCCTCCCGGTCTGTACTTTCAGTTTTTGAGTCAGAGAGCGTGCCGAGGTTTTTTGTTGTCTATCTGTATCTGTATTTGGGGATCCTGAAAGTAAAAATGGTTAGTGCTGTATGTGTCTGGGTGTAAGAAGGACCGGTCCACTTGAATGTGATATAACATGATGTGTGTGCACTTAATAGTATATTAATATTTTAAAAGAAAAAGATCTAGTTTTGTATTTCTCTCTACACTCTCTATTTTAAGCCTTCTCTGTTTCTCTTTTATTCTTGATCCAGTCTTCACAAGGGACCATTAAAGGCGAAGGAGCAATTGAGGTTTTCTGGTCAGGTCCACTCCATGACGTAAACCAAAGGCTCTTAGCCCTCTTGGCAGACCCCGACTGCCCACACGGGTGGAGACAGGATGGTCTTTCTATATCTTCCTTTCTTTCTAGCCACTAAAAAGCCCCACGGGCACAGGTCGAGCAAGTAAGAGCCACAGGGCACTCGCCACTAAAAGACTCCCGTGAAAGGATAAGGGGGTCCCAGGCGTGAATCCCAGATAAATTCACGTCCCCCGCAGAAGAAAAACTGGGCAACGTTAAGTACTTGTTCATAAGCACACCCACTGGTCATTATTATTGGAGTGGCATATTCTCACTTTCTTTCTTTCCTTCTTATTCTCCCCCTCTCCTGTCTGTAACCTCCATTATGGGTCAATCGCTAACTACCTCTTTAAGCTTAACTCTGGAACACTAAAAGGAGGTCGTGGACAGGGCCCACAACTTATCATTGGAGGTCCAGAAGAAGAAGTGGCAGAGTCTCTGTTCCTCTGCATGGCCCTCTTTTGAAAAAAGATGGCCAAGGGATGGGACTTTTGACCTTGCTACTATCTTGCAGGTTAAGGAATACATTTTCCACCCAAGACCACACGGACATCCGGACCAGGTGGCCTACATAGTCACCTGGGAAGACTTGGCCCAGAACCCCACATCTTGGGCACGGCCGTTCCTACCTCCTAGGGGAACTGAAGAGACTGACCAGGGGCCTCCTACACTTTCTGCCCCCCTGAGTCTTACTTCTTCCTGCCTGCCCCTTCAGTCTGCCCCTGAGAAGAAGAAGCAAAAGCCAGTCCTCCCTGAGGACCAAGCCTCCCTAGCCCTCCTTGATCCTCCACCTCCCTATCCACCTGCGCAGGCACCTCCACCCCAAGAACTACCTTATCCCCCTCCTGACTCTACCGAACCCAACCAACCCCCCCTCCATCTAGCAGACTTCACCTGAGAAGGGACAGAGGGGGCCCCTCTGATGGAACTGGAACTACCCAGGTTCTTCCTCTCTGAACTGTAGGGGATCAGATCCAGTATTGGCCTTTTTCAGCCTCTGACTTGTATAATTGGAAAACTCATAACCCCTCTTTCTCTCAGGACCCTCAGGCTTTAACTGCTTTAATTGAGTCTATTCTTCTTACCCACCAACCCACTTGGGAAGATTGCCAACAGCAGGATTTCCTCTGACCAGACCCAACTTGGACCCTGAAACCGTGGCCGGTAGGGAGCGTCTCCGTCTTTATCGCCAGACTCTGTTAGCGGGTCTCAAAGGGGCCGGAAGGCACCCAACCAACTTGGCAAAGGTACGTGCTATAACCCAGGGAGAAAATGAAACCCCCGCAGGATTTTTAGAACGTCTGATAGAGGGATATCGGATGTATACCCCTTTTGATCCCACAGCCCAGGAGTGTCAGGCAGATCTTATTATGGCCTTTATAGGACAATCAGCTCCTGATATCTGTCTTAAGCTCCAACGGCTGGAGGGCCTTCAGGGGTACTCTTTACAGGATTTAGTAAGGGAAGCTGAGAAAATCTACAACAAGCGAGAGACCTTAGAGGAAAGAGAGGACAGAATTAGGAAAGAACAGGAAGCCAGAGAAGATAAGAGAGAGAAAAAGAAAAACAAAGAGTTAAGTCGAATTTTGGCCACAGTAGTTCAGGGAACAGGACCAGATAGGGACCTGGGAGACAAAAGAAGACCCCGAGTGGACAAAGATCAATGTGCTTACTGCAAGGAAAGAGGACATTGGGCTCGAGAATGCCCAAAGAAGTTAAATAAACTACAAAAAAAGACAACCCCAGTCCTGACCCTAGGAGACTAGGGGAGTCTGGGCCAGGAGCTCCCCCCTGAGCCCAGGGTAACCTTGAAGATAGGGTGGCAATTGACTACCTTCATGGTAGACACAGGAGCTCAACACTCAGTTTTGACAACAACCAAGGGACCCATGAGTTCCAAAACAGCCTGGGTCCAAGGGGCTACTGGAGGGAAGAAATATAGGTAGACTACAGAAAGAAAAGTGGACCTCAGTACAGGACAAGTCTCTCACTCGTTCTTACTGGTCCCAGACTGTCCATATCCCCTCCTTGGGAGAGATTTACTCTCCAAGTTAGGAGCCCACATCCACTTCACTAAAAAGGGATCCACTGTACATGGAAAAGATGGAGCTCCATTACAGGTATTAACCCTGCGACTGGAGGATGAACATCGGTTGTATGAGGGACCGATAGCAGAAACCCCTGGTATATCCAATTGACTAAATAAAATCCTTTTAGCATGGGCCGAGACAGGAGGCCCAGGACTGGCATGCAATCAGCCTCCAATAGTGGTCACACTAAAACCATCTGCAACTCCGGTCTCAATCAGACAATACCCTATGAGCAGAGAGGCCCGAGAGGGAATCAGACCTCATATTCAGAGACTTTTACAAGTAGGCATACTTCGGCCCTGCCCGTCCCCTTGGAACACCCCACTGCTGCCCGTAAAGAAGCCAGGAACAAATGATTACCGACCAGTCCAAGACTTAAGAAAAGTCAATCAGAGGATAGAAGATATCCATCCCACTGTTCCTAATCCCTATAATCTTCTGAGTTCTTTACCTCCTAGTCATAGGTGGTATACTGTACTTGACCTGGAGGATGCATTCTTCTGCCTAAGGCTGAGCCCGGTTAGCCAGCCCATCTTTGCTTTTTAATGGAAGGACCCTAAAGCTGGAATATCGGGACAACTAACCTGGACTCGACTTCCCCAAGGATTCAAGAACTCCCCTACTCTGTTTGATGGAGCTCTACATCGTGACCTGGCTGACTTTCAGAGACACATGGGACCAGAGAAGACCTCACTGACCAGCCCCTAACAGATACAGATGCCACCTGGTATACGGATGGGAGCAGCTTTCTGCGAAATGGTGAACGTGAGGCGGGGGCAGCGGTGGTCAACGGAGAGAAAATAATTTGGGCCCTACAGCAGGTGAACTATTTGGGCTACAGGTTGGAGGGAGGACAACATTGGCTGACGGAAAGCAGGAAACAGGCAGTAGCCTCTATCCCCCCACCAACCTCAGCCAGAAGACTCAGAGAGTTCTTGGGAAGAGCAGGATTCTGTAGATTATGGATACCGGGTTTCGCTGAAATAGCAGCTCCCCTATGTCCTTTAACAAAGAATGGGACCCCTTTCGTCTGGACTGAAGAGCACCAGAGAGCTTTTGACAAAATAAAAAGAGCGCTGCTGACGGCTCCAGCTCTAGGATTGCCAGATTTGACAAAACCTTTAATCTTATACATAGATAAAAATAAAGGGATGGCAAAAGGAGTTCTTACTCAGACTTTGGGACCCTGGAAAAGGCCAGTGGCTTATCTCTCAAAAAGACTGGACAATGTAGCCTCTGGCTGGCCCCCATGCTTGAGAATCATGGCGGCAATAGCATCCCTGGTAAAAGACTCAGACAAACTCACCATGGGTCAGCCCCTGACTATTATAACACCACATGCGGTGGAGTCCATCATTAGACAGCCCCCTGACAGATGGCTGTCAAATGCCAGGGTGACCCATTACCAGGCACTACTATTAAATCCAGAAAAGATTAAGTTTGGTAGCCCAGCCACCTTAAACCCTGCCACGCTGCTACCAGCTTCTGAAAAAGGTACTGAGATTCCCCATGACTGCCAGCAAATACTTGCAGAGATGCATGGGACTAGGGAAGACCTCACCGACCAGCCCCTAATCGATGCAGATGCCACTTGGTATATGGATGGGAGCAGCTTTCTGCGAGACGGTGAGCATAAGGCGGGGGCATCGGTGGTCGATGGGGAATGGATAATCTGGGCCCAGGCCCTGCGGGCCAGAACATCGGCCCAACGGACTGAATTAGAAGCCCTAACCCAGGCCCTAAAATTAGCAGAGGCCAAGAAGGTCAACATTTACACTGACAGCCACTATGCATTTGCCACAGCTCATGTACATGGAGAAATTTACCGGAGGCGGGGGCTCCTCACCTCGGCGGGCAAAGACATTAAACATAAAGAAACAATAGTGGCCCTTCTACAAGCTCTGTATCTGCCTAAAAAGGTCAGCATCATCCATTGCCCTCGACACCAGCGTGACCAGGGGCCGGTTGCTCAGGGCAATAGGATGGCAGATGAAACTGCCCACCAGATAGCAGAGGGCACCCGCATTCTCTATTCCCAATCATCACTGGAGGCTGAGAACGCGGAGGAATCAGAAAGAGACCTCTTCATTTATTCCGAGCAAGACCTAAAAGTAGCCCAGGAGTTAGGCGCAATGATGGATCCTGAAACTAAAATGTGGAGATATCAGGATCGAACCATACTGCCCCGAAAGGCGGCCCTTGAACTAATCTCTCAGCTCCATCAGTGGACACACCTAGGACACAAGAAATTAAAAACACTACTAGAAAGAGAAGAACAATTCTATTATTTCCCAGACCTCAACCAGCTAGTCCAGAAGGTAGTGGGAGATTGTGTCTCATGTTCCCTGGTGAATGCTTGCAGATCAAAGGCCCCCTCTGGCATGAGAGAGAGAGGGGCACGACCAGGGACAAATTGGGAAGTAGATTTTACTGAAGTCCTCCTGGGAACGTATGGTTATAAATATCTCTTAGTGTTTATAGACACTTTTTCAGGGTGGGTGGAAGCCTATCCCACCAAGAAGGAGACGTCTGCGCAAACGATTAAATCCTCTTGCTTGTTGCATCTCCTGGTCTGAGGACTGAGTTACTGGGGTGCGGCCTCCCGTGGACATTGGGTACCCCAGCCTGGGGGTCCTACATGCCCCATACCTAGCTTTACCTATCCATCTCTTCATCCCTCCTTCCAGCTCTCCATCCATCCATCTATCCATATCTTCATCTCTCCATCCATTCATCTGCCCATCTCCTACCAGCCAATTTGTCCACATGTCCATTTATCTTTCCATGTATATATCTACTTATTATTCCATTTAAAATATAATTATTATCACTGTGTGTGTGTGTGTTTGTGTGTTGTGAATGTGGGTGCATGCATGCCACAGCACGTAGGTGGAGGTCAGGCGACACCTTTTGTTTTTTGAGACAGGGCCCCTGTGACCCTCCAGCTGGCCTAAAGCTCACTATGTAGACCAGTCTGGTCTCAAATCTCATGGAGATCTGCCTGCCTCTGCCTCTGGAGTGTTGGGATTGAAGGCATGTGCCACCATGCCTGGTAAAGGATAACTTTTGAAAGTTGTTCTCTCCTTCCATTTGGGTTCCAGGGATTCAACTCAGGTTGAAGCAAGTACCTTTACCCGCTGACCATCTTGTTGGTCCCTTTGCTCTCTCCCTCCTCTCCCTCCTCCTCTTCCTCATCTTCCTTCTTCCCTTTCTTTTTGTTCCTTTCTCTCCTTTTCTTTTCTTTTCTTTTCTTTCTTGACAGGGTTTCATGTAGCCCAGGCTGGCCTAGAATTGCAGGCATCACCAGCATGCCCAGTTTATCCATTCTTTCATTTCTTCATCCACCTAGCTACCCAAACATTCACCAACAAGTCCAGGGAGCAAACTTGTGACTTATCTGATATCAGACCCTCAGTAAAGCTGAGTGGAGAGTGATGCAGGAGGCTTGTTCCTGATTCCTGCCCCCTTGCAGTTGAGAAGGCAGACACATACCCAGTAGCAATGAGAGAGGGGCAAAAATAGTGTCACAGACTGTGGCAGGTCAATTAATGAAGGATGACTTGCCACCTAGTGGTCATGGAGGACTCTCTACAAGAATGTGTGCTTTCCATGAATCCCAGAAGAGAACATAGGAAATAGACATGCAGACAGCAGAAGAGGTATATGGGGAGGAAAGAGCTAGAAGGTAGAGCCCCTGCCTGGAGTCCCCCAGTGAGGGGCTGGGAGCATGGCTCAGTGGTAGAATGCCTATCTAACATGTATGAGATTCTGGGTTCCATCCCAGCACCACAAACAAGCTAACCAAAACCAGCAAAGTATGGCCCTTGGATCACTCATAGATGATGGATTCCATGACATTTTTTGAAGCAAGATAAATCTATGGGTGCTGGCTGTTGTGATATAGGTCTGTAATCCTGGCACTCTGGAGGCTGAGACAGGAGGATCTAGAGCTCAAGGGCAGTATAGAATACACAGTGAGACCCTTTATCAAAAAACAAAGAAGTTGGGCATGGTGTCACATACATGTGCACACACACACCATTAAAAAAAAACAAGCCGCCGGGCATGGTGGCCCATGTCTTTAATCCCAGCACTTGAGAGGCAGAGGCAGGTGGATCTTTGTGAGTTCAAGGCCAGCCTAGTCTACATAGTGAGTTCCAGGACAGCTGGGGCTACGAGGAGAACTTGTCTCAAAAAAGACAACAACAACAAAAAAAACTACACACACACACACACACACACACACACACACACACACACAACAAACCAATAGCAAACAGTAAAGTGACCCATATTTGAACCCTGTTATATACGTCTTTCCACAGGGCTGCTAGGGGAATGGAGTCTGACCTGTCCCTTAGGCCTCCTCTCACCAATCCTGTGTGCTGGGTGAGTCTAGGCAAGGCTGGGATGAATAGGGGACACCTACTATTCACAGAGGGGAGGCAGAGGTAAGCACATAGTAGGCAATTTGGGGAGACTTACTGAATCAGTGAAGTACTGGTAAGTCCACTCCATAGTTTTGTGGAGGGTTGTGAGAGTCAGGGTCACCCGCTGCTGGTTTATTTTTTGTTTTTGTTTTGAGACACGGTCTTCCTGTAGCCCTAGATGGCCTGAAACTCACTATACAGACCAGACTGGCCTTAATCTCACAGAGATCTGCCTGCCTCTGCCTCCCAAATGCTGGGATTAAAGGTGTCTTCCATCGCACCCTGCCTTTTTTAAAATTATGTTTTTATTTTATTTTTTTAAACCCACTACTGTTCAGGATGTTTGGCATGTTGAACCAGCAGAGGTCTTGGAAGCAAGCAAGGGTGACAGGTCTCATTAGGAGCAAGAGAGATACAGAGACAGATAGAGATAGAGAGCAAAGCTAGGGAGAGACAGATGCAAAGAGAAAGAAACAGAGAGATCAGAGACAGATAAAGAGGCAGAAAGAGATAAAGACACACACAGAGAAATAGAGATAGAGACAGAGACACAGAGAAATAGAGACAGAGACAAGAGATAGAGTTAGAGAGACAGAGTTAGGGAGATAGAGAAACAGAGAAATGGGCACAAAGATAGAGACAGAGAGAGACATTAAGGACACAGAGGCAGAGATATAGATAGAAAGAGCTAGAGAGACAGAGACAAAGTCACAGAAATAGAGAGACAGAGATGAGAAAGATATAGACAGAGACACAGAGATAGAGACAAAGAGAGGGATGGAATGACGTACAGGTAGCTGCTTCCTAGACCCTGTCTGCCCAGGTTGGATCCTAGTCATACATAATCATGGACTAGACAATGCACCTCTCCCACCTCCAGGGCTCCTGGCACAGAGCTGTGGGGTGCAGGACAAGGACTGAGCACTCCAACCTGCCACTATCATGTAACCTTGGGCTCCTCTATACAAAGAGAACACCCTCCCTATACAAGGAGGGGACATTAGGGCTGTGAGTGCTGGTTTCCTGTGTTTATAAGGGGTACAATGATGGGATGTGGTATTTACTTTACACAATTAATGCAAAAACTAAATGAGGGCTAGCAAGATGGCTCAGAGGGTAAAGGTGCTTGCTGCCAAGCAGACAAACCGGGTTTGACCCCTGGAGGCCACATGGTGGAAGGGATTCTCCTCTGACCTCCACATGCACACTGTGGCATAAACTCACACACAATAATAATAATAATAATTAATATCAAGAAGGAGGAGGAGGAGGAAGAGGAAAAGGGAGGGCTGGAGAGATGGCTCAGTGGTTGAGCACTGACTGCTCTTGTAGAGAGCTGGAGTTCAGTTCCCAGCACCCACATGGCAGCTAAGAACATCCATAACTCCAGTACCAGGGGATCCAATACCCTCTTCTGACCTCTAAAGGCACTGCACACACATGATGCACTTACATACATGCAGGCAAAACACTAATACACCTAAAATAAAAATTAGTAAATAAAAAATGTTTAAATAATAAATAAATAAAATTTTAAAAATGAGTCAGGCATGGTAACAGGCACCTGCCATCCAGCCCCAGGGAAGTTGAGGCAGGAGGATCTCAAGATCAAGGCTAGCATGGGCTACATGCACGGCTCAGTCTCAAGAAACAAAAACTGGGCCAGCAATATGACTCAGGGAATAAAAGCACTTGCCACCCAAGCCTGACACCCTGAGTTTGATACCTAGAACCCACATAAAAGAGTCAGATACAGTGGCACAAATCTGTAAACCCAGCACTCCTTACAGCAAGTTAGGCAGTAGAGACAGGAGAATCAGAGAACCTACTAGAAGCTCCTGAGTCAGTAGTTAGTCTGGAATACACAGCATGGCAGAAACAAGAAAGACCCTGTCTCAATAAGGGGGACAGGTGGTGGAGAGATGGCTCATCAGGTAAAGGCCCTTGTCACCTAAGCCTGGTGACCTGAGCTCAAGCTCTAGTCTCAGATAAAGATAGAGGCAGAGAACCAACTCTATCAAGTTGTCCTCTGACCTCCACATATGTACTATGGCATTTATGCCTCCTCAACCATCCTGGGGGTACTTATGTCCCTCCCAACAAATAAACAAACAAACAACAGGGTGGAAGGAGAAAACCAACCTCTGAAAGTTGTTCTCTAACCTCAAACGTGCATCATGACTTGAACGAGCCCCTCCCCCACATCATGGTATTGGTAATAAAATTTTAAAACCTTTTAAGTAACTGAAACAACAAAAACCCAACCCCCAAATAAACAGAAACCTGAATAAAATCTGCATATAAGACCCTTCTTTCCTCTCCTCCTCCCTCTTCTTCCTTCTTCCTTCCCTTCTATAGTCCTTCCTCCTCCTCCCTCTTCCTCCTCCTCCCTCCTTCCCTTTCTTTCTCCCTCCTCCCCGACCCTTTCTTCCTTCCTTTCCAACATCTCCAAGTATAGTTTTGCTATTCACAATCACTAAGTTATGGAACTGACTAGGTGTCCAACCACAGAGGCATGGATAAGAAAATGTGCTCTGTACATGCAATGTTTTTTTTTTTTCAGCCATAAAGAATAGAGTCTTTTCATTTCCAGGAAAAAGAACACAACTGGAGATCATCACATTAAATATGTTAAGCCAACTGCAGAAAGACAAAGTCACATGTTTTCTCTCATTTGTGGTTCCTAGATGTTATATGGATAATCATATGTGTGTAAATAATATATGTTCATGTATAATCATGTAAATATGACAGGAAAATAAAGTTAAAATTTATAAGATGATGAAGGGAACTGATGGGAGGGAGAAGGAGGATGGTGGGGAGCAGCGTGGTGGCACACACCTTTAACCCCAGCACTCAGGAGGCAGAGGCAGGAGGATCTCTGTGAGTTGGAAGCCAGCTTGGTCTACACAGTGAATTCCAGACCATCCAGGGCCACAGTGACACAGTGAGATCCTGTCTCAAAAAAAAATTTGTACACACACACACACACACACACACACACACACACACACTAAAAGAAAAGCATTTGAACAGAGGGATTCTGCATAAGTGGAAAAAACCACTCCCAGAAACCATAAGGTTTTAAATGAAAATCAAAGTGCCAGGGGTGGGCAATGTCCAAACAAGTTGTCATTCAGGGAGGTCTCCAAGACCCCCCAAATATCAATGCTGTCCATTGTCCACCAGAACTAGATGGTAAGACCCTATTCGTGAAGACACCACACATTTTGCTGGCAAGACACAGAGAAATCAAGCTGTACTGAACTGGAAGCTCCCTCCCCACTGGCTGGCTTTCACAATGCCAGAAGGTGCTATGCAGGCTGATGAAGGAGAAAATGTATCACCTCTCTTATTCAGCTATGGGCCCTGCATGGCTCACTTGCCAGGCAGGATGTGCCCACTGGTGCAGTAGTGGCATGACTTGCTGGGGTCACCACTTTCTGATTGGATGTAGGGTCTATTTCACAGGTAGGAACTCAGGTGTTGTACAGTAAGCATGGCCAAAAGCCTGTGACTAAGACGGTCATAGGTCCTAGTGGAAAATTTAAAGCTGTTGTTTTGCTAAACGGATATGATGTGCCTGTCAAACTGTCTTCTAAATATTAATATTTATTCATGCTGTCAGCTTTAGTCAGAGAAACCTTTTTAATATTATTATTATTATTATTATTTGGTCTTTTTGAAGCAGGGTCTCCTTGCAGCCCCAGCTCTTCTGGAACTCACTATGTAGACCAAGCTGGCCTCGAGCTCACAAAGATCTGCCTGCATCTGCCTCCCAAGTGCTGGGATTAAAGGCGTGCATCATGCCCGGCTATTATTTTTATTTTATGTGTATGAGTGTATTGCTTGCAAGTGTGTAAGTGCACCTGTGTCATACAATGTCCTTGGAGGTCAGAAGAGGGTGTTGGATACCGCTGGAACTGGAGTTATGGATGGTTGTTAGCCAACCAAACCCAGGTCCTCTGCAAGAACAGCCAATGCTCTTAACCACTGAGCCATCTCTCCAGCCTTGAAAAACCTTTTTCTTCTTTTTTATTTCAGTG